AAAAAATTTTTTTTTAAAAAAATGGGCAAATCTAAACATTTTTGTACTTAATGGATTTAAAACAAATTTGGTATCCTATGTGCTTAGGTAATTTTTATTCAAATTTGTTAAAATATTATTGCTTTGCTCATAAGGACAGGGTAGGGGGCACCTTTTGAAGGGGGAAATATACACATTTATGAGTTCCTAAATGTGTTCCTAAATCTGTAAATCACTCAATCGAGTGTATAAAAGAAATTAATGTGTGCACAGTATTTATACCATATAAGGAAAATATTCTGTTGGCTGCATGACACACTTTTAATGCAATTACAGTTTTATTAGGCATGTGAGATAAATTGTGTCAAATGTATCTTGAAACAGTTTCAATAAATACATTTGTACAAATATTTGCGTGAATACTATTGTGTCACAAATAAAATTTGAATACCATAAGATATTTGCTATTAGAGGAAATATTAGTGGTTAATAACTTATCGACAAGTCTTATTTCCAAATCTGTAATTTTTCAGATTGCATTTTATCTCAACAACTATAACTAAAGCATTTAAACAATTTTCACAAATTATCAGGTGTAGGGTAGAAACTGAATAAAACAGATTATAATTAAATGACATTAAACACGCCTCTTTGCCCTTTAATAAAAGTTTTTGATGACTCCATTACAGTTCTTGGGGTGACTCAATTACAGATCTTGGAGTACAATTTTTATGTTTTTCTAACTCATTATCAGTTTAATAACAGCAACAATCTGATGTTTCTGTTAGGATGACCATGAAAGAAAGTTTAATAATTAAGCACCATAACGTTGGTAACGATAAACACTATCAATATTGTTATTGATAAAATCCCAGGTGAACATAATCATATTGTATTTTCTTCTTTCGAACATCAACAATTAATCAGAAATGAATCAGATAGTTCACATAATACTAACCATGGCTCACAATAATGACATTTAATGTATTAAAAAGCTAATTGTTGTGATATGGAGCAGAGGCATATACTAGGATGATGTATTTAATGGGAATGGGAATTGGACCCTTCCCAATGGGGCATGGGTTATTAAATTGTGGGTTTGGGGGTGGGGGGTGCTTTTACCAAGCAGGCCAAATTTAACTGACTTAACTAATCAAAACATTAATAGAACACAATTTTTATGGGAAACAATCACTGGTTTATTCTAAAAGCACGACGTTTCGACAAGTATCCTCTTATCGTTATCTAAAGATTATAATCAAAACATATCAATTTATAGAATTAAGATAAAAAAAAATTTAAAATGTCAGATGCTTTTTTTTATAACTTATGCGATTATAAATCAATTACAAAGTTGCTTTCTTTGGTAGGTTTCATTTAAAACCAAAATTCATTTCACATGGTAAAAAATTTACATTAATGAACTAAACAATTATTTCCTATCTACCCGTAGTAGAAAAGATAAAAGATTAGTTGAGCTTAGCATTGAATTCATTTGGAAATTATATTTTGATTGGAAATAATATTGAAATGATCTCATAACTGAATATGGAATACACTTAGGTTTTAGTCAACCACACCCTGTAAATTTTTATTGATTTGAAATGCATAAGTTAAGTAAACAGGTCTATTTTCAACAATTTTCAAAAACTATAATTTATGGAGTTCCTGTTCTTGACCCTTTAAAAAACCCTGTGGGTGCTCATGATGCTACATTTACAGTTATCATTTAATTGCTATTAAATTTACACACAGCGTTTATGTTCATGAGATGAAGAATATTTTTCATATATAAACGATTTCCGATGATTGCTTTTGGAATATTTTTCTTGACCACTTTGAAATATTTTATTGGCCCTCTAGAGATTATTGTCTTTTTAAGTATCTACAAAAGAATCAAATTGTGACAACTTTATGGCATGCCTGCACGATTTAACTGCTGAGTGCATATGTTTCTTTACATTTTATCATTTCTTTGACATTTTGTCAGTAAAAATGAATAATAAGTTGTAAAAATACTCTGAAAGAGTGAAATATCCCAAGTTATAATCAAAAATCATGCATATAAAGATTTGTCAAATAGAATTAAGTACATGTATAAACATTTGTAACTTATTTCCATTTCCATTTCATTACACATGAAAAATGGCAATCATTTGACTAAAGCCAATATTTGTGAAATGTGCATATTGAGTAATTTTATAGATGGACAAAATGATTTTGTGAAAAATGTTACATACTTCCTATCCTCAAACAAAAATAACCAGCAAATCCAGAATCGTTGAGGCATTAAGCTATAACTGTGATGAGCATTGTATCAGAGTATGTATTTTAATGCAAAACCAGGAGTATATCTAGAATTCCTTCTTTAAAATTTCAAAATTAAAAGCCTAAAGTCAGCCCATTTCTAAATTCAATTCATTCACTTGATTTGATATGCATTTAATGTTTATTGCTTCCTTCATGCCCGGATGGTATTGATCTTATACCCGGATGGTATTACTGTAAATAATAGCATATTGAAGTAAATATTTCGAGATGGTTATTTGTAAAAAGATCAATCTATACATTTATGGATACGGAAATCAGGGTATTGTGACATTGTTCAATGATAAAGAACTCATTTCCATATTAAACAGGCTAAACAATAATAAGACAAGGTCATTATAGAAAATAGTCGTTAAGTAAATTGATTTTTCTGTAGTCAGGACATGTAGCAGTGTATTAAATCTGCATTAAATTGATTATCATAGATTTTATAATTCTCATTTAATTATTTGTATGTGTAAAGTATAAACTTCACTTAATAGATTAAAGGATGGGCTGACAAAAATTTTATGTCTTTAGGAATATTTGGATAGATAGTCCTTTTCAATGGGAAAGGACTTATGCTATATTCTCTGTCTGTCTGTGGGGGGGTTGGATGGCTGAATGGTAAGCGTGCACGCGCTGTATCATAAAGTCTGTCATTGAGTCGACTGGCGTGGTTTCGAATTCACGGTTGTACGTGGCAAGGAGTAGGGTCGCCTGTCCAACCTCGTGGGTTTTCTCCGGGTCCTCCGGTTTCCTCCCACTGCTAAAGACCCCTACGCACAAGCAAATTATGTAAATAAAATTAAACCATATGTTAGTCCCGAAATGACCTAGTTTGTGTCGAGTGGACGTTAAACCCCATTTCTCTCTCTCTCTCTCTCTCTGTCTGTTGTCTGTTAACTATTATATATTTTCTATTAACTAATTGTCCTGAAGCATGCGATGTATTTCAATGAAATATGGTAGGTTTGTTGCATGGTTGGTACTTATTAAAATTTGTTCAAATAAAGTTGATATGCACTACAGGGGTGAGGTGGAGGTAGCTTAAAGCGCTAAATTAAGACTACTGTGTCTTGTCGCCCAGAAGGCGTCTCTATGGATTTCAACTACATGTAAAGATAGTATTTATGTTGTTTGGGTATTATTCAGACATGTTCAAAATAAAGTTGATCTTTCCAATTTGGGGGTTTTACAGTGTTACCAATATATCTAGTTGTGCTCATTTCTATATGGGGAAAAGACACCAGAAATACATATATTTAGACGTTTTTGGCAGGTATGTTGCATTGGCTGGAAGAAATGGGGAGCAAATTCAGGTTTGCTCCAATGAGTTGATAATGGGTGTGACATGTCTCTAAACATCATATATTCTTAAATCAAAGGATGAAAGTGTGTACATGTGTATTTTAATCTGAATTATTTATTATGAATAAATATAGCACACATAGATAAGAATAAAAATAGAAGACAATCTATTTATGGTATGCATTCCAAATATAGCTGATCTTAAATTAATACAAAGATTAGCTTATCTTATTTCTCAGTTCAGTTTTCATTTCATACAGTAGTGCATTGAGGGGTGTGGCAATTGTATTAGACACGCCCAGTAACTGACCATAATCAACACAATAATATCCCTTAAAATACAGATGTGACATCATCCTTTGATGTTGCCACACCATTATTTCAAATAATGTACCGGCAACTTGCCAATCATATATTATTTATACTATATGAAATATTGGACTCGTGTGACCTATTTCATTGAAAAGCATGTACAGTGTCTGTATTTTAAGTTGTTTAATATCTCGAGCTTAAGACATTGCGTAATATATTGAAACAACACTCGGGCAAACACCCGCAGTATCAGTGTATTACTTAATTTCTCCTCTCAAACATTAAACCACACTTAATTTAAGACATTAAACAGTTTTATGACCCACCATCTTCAGATATTCTGTATTGGACCTTAAAATTGAAATAAACAACAACAGCTACCTGATTAAAGTTCAGTATGACCAGCCAGTTCAACCATGTATTATAGACTTAGATGTAGTTTTGTTGATGTCAGTTTTGCGTAGATTTGTCTCTTCTTTTTAGTCTGATGGACAATTTTTAGATGAATGCAGAAGCTAAATCAGCCCTTTATAAAACTTTTGGTGTTTTAATGTATCAAATACATCAATAAGAAACCATTTGCAAAGTTTTGTATTTCTGGATCAAAGATATTTCATATAAACATTGATTGAAAGTTGAGTAAATTCTTAAGACATGTCTGAAAATGCTTTGTGAACTCGAGGCCAGTCATGCGAAATCATTCTGCAAATGATAAAATATATGGTATATATATGTTGAGGTTATCTGTATTTAGAGTGGGTTTGGATATTTTGGTAGCCTTAGCTAAACATCATCTGTTACTGATATGTATATGTATATGATATGCAAATGATAAAATATATGGTATATATATGTTGAGGTTATCTGTATTTAGAGTGGGTTTGGATATTTTGGTAGCCTTAGCTAAACATCATCTGTTACTGATATGTATATCATGTAACATGTCCATTACCACGATGACGGCCCAAGGAAATTGGTTGGTCCGAGGGTCGAGAACTACGCAGTCCACCGGCCCTGGGCCTGGCTCTGTATTTGATTATTATTAAGTATTTTTCAGTACCAATATATTCTTCTTTTGTGATTATTTTCAGTATTTTATTTGCTGATATTTGTGGTTTTACGATGTTATCATCCCAGTGTACAGCTCAGGAACTAGTTCAACTATTAAATGAATTATTTGCACGGTTTGATCGATTAGCTGCTGACAATCATTGTTTACGTATCAAAATTCTCGGAGATTGTTATTATTGTGTTAGTGGCCTGCCAGAAGCAAGATTTGACCATGCCCATTGCTGTGTTGAGATGGGGCTTGACATGATAGATGCAATATCGTAAGTTTTATTTTGTTTCTTTAAAGGTGTAAAGGTTTTTTTACAGTTTTGGAAGAAATAATCCTTCTATGAACCAAATTTATAGAACCAAACTAAAACTAAAGGATGACAATGTTGAATGAAAGTTAGAAAATTCCTCAGGGACCCAGTTCAAGCATTTCTGATGGAGTCGTCTTTTCTTGTGTGCTTTAGATTGTAAGGTTTGTCATTTAGTCAGATTACATGGTTTTGAATTTGATACCAAGCTGGTGTGTTAGGAGTAGAGTCGCCTACCCAACCTCGTTCATTCTCTCTGGGTCCCCCAGTTTCCTGCCAATGACCCTTAGAATCATTGCCAAAAAATGTGTGTTATGTGTGTTAAACCCACTCTCTCTCATTGACACCACAAAGCTTTCAATATGGCACTGACCGGAGTGAATAAGTCAAATTTATTCATTTTGTACTCCAAGATAACTGTTAATTGTGTATTTACTTTTTCCAATAGACAACTGCTACTTCTTGTAGCCTGAGTGATGTCACAAACGCATTATTTAATTTTGGATGACATGTAAACTGTTGTATATATATGTTGCCTAAGTAAAGTCATAATATCATTTATGACTTGTTTATTTTCTTCAGGTTAGTACGAGATGTTACTAGAGTAAATGTTAACATGAGAGTGGGTATTCATTCCGGTCGTGTTCACTGTGGTGTTCTGGGATTAAGAAAATGGCAGTTTGACGTCTGGTCAAATGATGTAACTTTGGCAAACAAAATGGAGGCCGGTGGATTACCAGGGTAGGTTATATTCAAATGTTGTTTTTAAATAAATTAGGAGCCAAGGTTATCAAATTTGTCTTCTTAATTCAAGGTGCGCTCCTATTTAAATCATATATTAATGGTAGTAACGTTGAAATGCACAATTCACGAAAGTACATTTCACATTACATAAAACAATCCAAAGAAATCAGATGATATTGTATACATATATGAGTTACAAATTAGAAAAATTCTCTTTAAAAATCCTTTATCAAAATGTCACTATCCATATATTATTTCATTTTATTAACATATCTGAATATTTATTATGTTATTTGGGGTTTTTTTTCAGACGAGTTCATATAACAGAAGAAACATTAAGTTATTTACAGGGAGATTATGAGGTCGAACCTGGTAATTCGTGGGAGAGAAGTACATATCTACGAGCACATGGCATAGTTACATATCTCATCAAACCTCATGATACTCCAAATAAGGTAAAATTTGATTATTTTAATTTATTAAAATAGAACTTTTTTCATCTGTTTCCCCTTGTCAGTGGTGCAGGACGGAGGGCCTGACAAGGACAGCTGTCTAGTCGTTCAGATGGGATGAAAAACCGAGGTCCCGTTTGAACACATTGGTGTGCACATAAAAGATCCCTTGGAATTCCAGTTGGCATTTGATATAAGAGTAGGCCAGGAAAAATTGACGTCTTCATTAGCCCAATTTTCATCTGCTTAAAAAATTTAAACACTGGAGAAATTCTAACTCCTTTGTGTATAAATTTCCCCTACACATTTTATTTCATGCTTACTATACTTTAACCCAGAGGTTCTCAACCTTTTTTTACCAACGGCACACCTTGGAACACGCAAAAAAATAGCGGCACACCTGACATAATATAAATGAAATATATTTGAATTTTGCAAAATAAAAACATGTCAAGTCATAGACAACATACAACCGTAGACACAGACTAGTCATATACACATAGAACGTCTCAAACTAAATAAAGAAAAACACAGCTATGAACTTGCTTTATTGCAGTGTTTCGAATTTCATCAGTCAAATAGTTTGCTTCTTTAGTGAGAAATTTTCTTGTTGTGCCGTTCAAAATTTTGCGGCATATTGGTTGAGAATCACTGCTTTAACCTATGAAATTAGCTTTTCATCCACATGAAACCCAACTTCCAAATGAAATCAACTTTTAACTTATCTTCCACATGAAATCAACTTTTCTTCTGCTGTGATATATTTTCATCCAACAATTATTTTCTTCATTAATAGTTTATTGCATAAATTATAACACTATTGTTTTCGGATCATCCAAGGATTAACATCTCGTATCAGTTTTAATCATCTACAAACAGATTTAGAACAACTACTAACAACATAATCATTAGCATGGTAATCAGTATTGACGATATGTTATATCCTATTTTTGGACATTTTCATTAATATAATCAGATTTATTAACATAATACCTGAACCTAATTAGTATTTATAATCAAGTAATTAAGTATTAACCGTTTTTTACGGGTATGTTAGCTTTTTAGTTCCTTAAAGAGCCAATCTCTATTATAGTTTGGAGAATAAAACTGCTTAGTTTTGTGTTAAAAGCCCTTAAAATCCTCTACCATAGTAACTAACTCAATATATTTGTGATATGTTTTCAAACAACTTAAACCTGTCAGTCTTCATCTGGAAATGGAAACCGGTGTCCCAAGCTGCTATTATAGAAATAGCATGTAGGTGTGTACATGAAATTTACCTTTCGTTGTCAAGTACAGCACATGGATCATGTACTGTATAGACCTCTAAAGGAACAGAAATTAACCCAAAATTTAAAAGGGTTACGTGTCTGGATAAGTGGTTTGGGCTGAAATTTTGAAACAAGGTGAAAACACGATTCCTCTACAATGTATATTTTGACGCCTAAATTTCATATGTACACAGACTTTTATGTCTTGGACATAATCAAATAATGAAGTATTAAAGGAATATTTACTGGTATGTAATAGCTGTTTACTTCCCTAATATTTTAATGAAGTATTAATTGAATATTTATGTAATAGCTGTTTACACTGCAAGTAAATGAGTATTAACGAAATATAACCATCCATCAGGTCAATAACTCTTGAAGGGTTGGCCGAACTAGATCTCGGTATTAGTTTTAATACTTTTTATTATCTGTTTAAAGTACACTATTACTCAGGTGGGATGAAATCACTTTTTTTACCGCCCTCTCTCAACTTTGACTTTTGTATGGGCTATACTATATACCGGAAAACACCGAAAAACAACCGGAAAACTACCGGAAAACACCATGTTATACTGAATACCGGAAAACACCAGAAAAACACTAAATACCGAAAAACACACTAAATACCGGAAAACACCCTAAATAGGTAACTCGGAGCCTGGTCCTCTGGAAAACACCCGGAAAACCCTAACCCTAACCCTAACCCACTGCTGGTCCTATGGAAAACACCGGAAAAACCTAACCCTAACTCCCCGCAAAGAGGTGACCAGGCTCCGGGTTACCTATTTAGGGTGTTTTCCGCTATTTAGTGTGTTTTCCGCTATTTAGTGTTTTTACGGTGTATTCGGTATTCAATATAACATGGTGTTTTCCGGGAGTTTTCCGTGTTTTTCGGTTGTTTTCCGGTATATAGTATTGTCGCTTTTGTATGACAACCATTGTTTTCTCTTAACAAATTATTTGTATTTATCAGAAATTACGTCCATCAGTAGAAGTTACTGTTAATAATGGTGTTAATGGTGATAAAAGTCATATCAGTAAAGAGATGAAGACAATGGGATATGATATGAATCCTGATGCGGCTCTTCATAATAAGTAAGTCATGCTATATACAACTACATACTTATATTCATATAGTGTATAATCAATAATGTCATATATATAAGCTAAAACATTTATTGATGGAAATTTTATCGGTTCAACAATTCTACCATGACTTCTTTAATAGGCATTTAGTAATTAAACATATTAACACAAGGTACAATTTTATGGATGCATAATTACTGGTAATTACTATATAAAACAAGACTTTCCTCGACAAAACATAGCATAGTAATAAACTCAGTAACTGTGTATCTATAAAATTGTACCTTGTGTTAATTCTACATTTGTCGTAGGTGATAAGTGTTAATTAACCACATGATGTTTGTAAATACCAACCTACCATCTCTTTGGTAACAAGTTATATTTAAAAAGTGTTATTGAATTGAATCAAGTTATGTTTAAAATGTGTTAAAGAATTGAAAACCCATCTTTAACCATTTTATTGTTTGTGAATATTAAATTAATTTCTGTGATATTATGGTATTGTTATTATAGATTAGGGTTAGATAATTTAGAAGGCAAAAATCCAGAAGAAGAAGTAAATGAATACCTTGCTAGGGCTATAGATGCTAGGAGTATAGAAAGATTACGATCTGAACATGTTAAAGGTTTTTTTCTCACGTTCCTTAAAAAAGATCTTGAAGAAAAGGTAATTCATTAAAATAACTCCATGACCTTTTTGGCTGGTGTCGACTGTAATACACATATATAGTCAAAAGGCATAGAAAATTTTCACACGTAAATCCCCTTCACAGAGAATATATTGCAATAGGTATTTGTAATTGTCTCCCGCCGGTCTGTCTGTGTGTCCGTCCGTCCGTCTGTTTGTCTGTCTGTCCGCCACACTCTTTGGGACACAATAACTCTCCTTCTAATTGAGCTAGAATGTTCAAACTTAGTATAGGTGTTTATTTGGTCAATACCTTGATGGAGTTCGAAGATGAGCATTGTCTGCTTAGGGTAAGCACAGATAAGCAATGTGTCATCTATTTATTTTGGGATTTCGGCGGGGGGCATCAGCCTCACTGTTGGCTTGTTTGATACTGTAAATAAGCCTGGACATAAGGCACTTGTAACAGACTCATTCACGGACAAATTATCACACATCGTATATAGATATTGTAGTAAAGAAAATTGGCGATTTGTGTTTGACAAAGTCTGCGACAGGTGCCTTCCTAACTGTAGTACATCAATAAATTGTAAATACAGTGCAACAATAGCAAAGACATTGGGATAATACTTGAAATACAACTATTGAATTTATTAAATTGGGATAATACTTGAAATATAACTATTGAATTTATTAAATTATTAAATTGTTGTATTTCTGTATGTATATTAATTATATTTGTTTCATATTCATGGCTATTAAATGGAACAATTTTGAATTTCCCCATTTCTCTATTTCAGTATTGTAAAGTACGAGATGTTATGTTTGCCTCACATCTTTGCTGTGTTTGTTTAATTTATTTCTGTGTTTGTGCTGTTCAGTTAACCATTGTGCCTAGGTAAGTAAAGTTATAAGAATAGTTTATCAATCGGTAAATGTATTAAAGTCCGCTGTCTTATGAACAGCTGTGTCTGTTATGTAATACAAGTAACATATTTATAACATTAGTTAATTTGATTGGCCTAGGATTTACTAAAACATGGATAATATCTGATTTTTCCTGCTGAATATTAGAAAATTAAATGAATAAGAGAATGAGTTAAAATTGAAAATTACAGACATGATGATATCTACTGGCAGTTTTCTTACCAATTGGTAAGGTGATTCATGTTTTCAAAACCTTTTCTGATTCCTATTTTTTCTGTATGAAGTCTGTAAGTATTAGCACCTGAATGCTGCCCTGCATCCAGCAGAAGTGATTTATGTAGTTCGCAAGAGTGGAACATCATCTTAATGAGTTTTAATTTATTTATTTTATTTCAGTTCTATTCTTACTGCCACTTTATTTCCAGTTGGTGCCTTTTTGATACTATCTCTTTTACTGCTCATTTTATCAGAGTCTTTTTCAGTAAGTATTCTTTACTTAAAGCTCTTAATTTGGGGTGATACATATATTTCATACAGTTCAATTCAGAGAAAATTGAGAACCTTGTTTGATAAGACGAGTATATTATATGGACCAGGAATCAAGCACAACATCATCGCAGTGATATTGGTATTATGGTGTCATATCAAAATCGAAGCTTGTGAATCAATGCACAAGTCTGTGCATCATTGTATAAGTCTGTGAATCATTGCACAAGTCTGTGAATCTTTGTGCAAGTTTGTGAATGAAAGAAACAGGCAAATTTCATATCCATCCTACTTGAATTGGTGGAGCTATAGGCTTTTGTCGAAGAGTGTCATCCCCAAGAAGAAGGAGAACAAGATGAATAGCACTTTTGTACTAGTTCGCTGGTTCAAAAATTATCCCCATTAAATTTTCTGAAATTGTTTTCTATGAAATTTTACTGACTGCAGTGAAACTCCTTAATTATACACCAATGGAACAAATATTTCTTCACTGTGTGTAGAATTTTGTGAATACCTCAAAAAAAGTCATCGTCTAATCATAAGTCATTAAATTTATGTTCTTTGTTTCATTTCTTTCAGTGTACTCCAAAGGGTTTGCGAATTGTTGCCAGAAAATTAGCTTTAAATCGTTGGTTAAATCAGTTGGTAGCGATTATCTCCATAGCAACAGTTTATGTTGCTGCTTTTGCATCTATGGTAAGTTATAATATCATTGATTTTGTGGATGATATTGTTCACCAAAATTTTGCAAACACGCTAAAATGAACATTCACATTTATCCCCAAGATCCAAGTTAGAACTTGGAATATCTCAGGTACTACTGATATGAGAAACAAAATTTAATGATTAATGAGAAATATTTGAATTTTCTTTAAAAGGTTTGGGATTATAATGTGCTGTGTTGAGGTTATGGGGATTCTAGTTGCTATTCTCGTGGATTATTTTACTTTAAGGAACATTTCCAGTCCTTATCCCTTTTTTCCTACAGCCATGTGTTGGTATATTACCTATCGTCCCCTGTGTAGTTAACATTAGTTAGGTTGAGATACCTATTAATTTTTGTTGATTTCTGGCAATAATGTCTTGAGTTATTGTCCTTGATCACATGTAGAATCCTGTGAATACACCCATATAAATCTTTTGCATATTTTCACTTAAGGATTCACAACCTTGGACAGCTTGGATAACATAGCTGCTTTAGGCATGTTTTGTTCCTGGTAACCTATTTTTTCTGTGATTTACTCTCTAAATAAACTTAAGGTTAAAGCTTCAGGCATGGGAGGTAAATCACTAATGATACTATGTCAAACTTATTAATCATCATAATAATGAAGTGTCATGCTATAGCCCATCCGTAACAATCAATTATTATGTTTTGTTTATTTGAACAGTTTATATTAATTGTTCCTGATATCTGGAGCTGTGTTCAGACCTATTACAACCTCACAGAAACTTCCAAGAATCTCTCTTTATTGAGTCAAACTATCTTCTTAGATGAAAAAGGGTTAACAAAATGTGATAACTCTGGACCTACTTCTGTCTTTCCTCAGGTAAATAGATTTGTATAATACATTTATATTATATTCCCTGGTCATTGTGTATACTTTAGACAGGCCCAAGGAGGGTGGCGGGGGGAGCTAGTACATTGCTCCACGGAACTAACACATGGTTCAATTTCGTTTTAACCAGAAGAAACTGGAGGACCCGGAAAAAACGCACGAGGCTGGACAGGTGACCATACTTCTTGTCACGTACAATCGGGGCATCAAAACCCAGCACTTGACTCAATGACAGACCTGATCCAACGGCCTCAATACCCCCACCCCTCAACCCCCTTAAAAACAGAACTGTAACCAAGATCTATAAATTAAATTAAACTTTGGCGATGTTGTCATTAGACTGCAAGCTAGAGAGTCTGTGATTAAAATCATATTAATGGAGACATTTACACGAGGCTGGACAGGTGACCATACTTCTTGTCACGTACAATCGGGGCATCAAAACCCAGCACTTGACTCAATGACAGACCTGATCCAACAGCCTCAATACCCCCACCCCTCAACCCCCTTAAAAACAGAACTGTAACCAAGATCTATAAATTAAATTAAACTTTGGCGATGTTGTCATTAGACTGCAAGCTAGAGAGTCTGTGATTAAAATCATATTAATGGAGACATTTACACCCAAGTAAATTAAGGACATTTGTTGAGTTTTTCCTCTGTTTTTATATTTCAGTATTTTACATTATGTGTGAGTTTGGCGTTAATAAGTTCAGCTGTATTTTTACAGACTAGTTCTGTTGTTAAGATGGTTTTATTAATTTCGTTGACATCTATTTATTTACTGATTGTACAACTACTTTATACAGATCTATTTGATAATCATGACCTCTTACTACAAGCAAACATATGGTAAGTTGTTTTAACCTTTTAAAGCCACAATAATCTGTATCATTTACATCCCACAAGTAAAATTTTAAAATATTAATGGTTCTAACTTGTTATTATGAAGTAAGAACATCCATGTATTAAAAAGTCTTCCTGAAAAATGGACTGACTTATTACTATAATTGTGGAAGACACAAAAGATGACCGTGTGAAATGAATAGAAAGATTTAATAAAACCACTGCTTGTCATTTGCATTTGTCAGACAATATCTCATTTTTCACAGCTTGTACTCAGATTGAATATTAAAAATTTAATTAAAGAAAATAGACTGGTTACACTTTTCAAATTTGTAGCAAAATTCTTTTATCTTTTATTATAAGCTAAAATAAATATGGATATGAAATTGAAAGAAAAATTTTTTTGTTGATTTACAGGAGTGAAGTCCCAGATGCTTCATTTAGTGTAGCCTTGAAATGGGAGACTATTATTGTTTTGGTAATATTTGCAATAGTGCTTTTTGTACATGCTCAACAAGTAGAATCTACTGCTAGATTAGATTTTCTATGGAAGATACAGGTTTGTTTTTTGTTTTTTTTAGTTTTTAATGATTTAAGGCAGACTTTGCGGACTAAGTATTGAAAGTTTTCATGGCATATCACAGTAATATCCAAAATGGATGTGTCAAGAAGATAAAGTTCCCCTGGGTTTGCCTGCGTTCTCATTAGAGTGTATATAAGGAACTCTAGACAGTAGGAATTTGATGAAGAATGGGCAAAAATGTTGCTGTCTGGGCAAAATGTCACTTATAACACACTGCATGCCGATCTTACATTGCCAATTTGCTAGCAAATTAAGACAATAAAGATATACACACTGATGTGTTAGTGCTGTTGAAATGATATTGTATCAGTTAAGAAGTTTGTATTATATATTTCAGGCTACAGAAGAGAAAGAAGAAATGGAGAGTTTACGTGCCTATAATCTGAGACTTGTAGCTAATATCTTACCTTTAGCTGTTGCTGAACATTTTCTTAAAAGTAAAAAAGATGAGGTAAATAATTTAAAAGACAACAGACAATAATTGACTGTAACAGCCATGTTGTAATTGTTCCTCTCTGATTCTAATTAAAGTAATGATGTGTGATTTGCATTTTTTGGAGAATATTAATATTTTCACAAGGTATTGTATTTGATCCTCACCTAGGGCAAGATGTTTTTTGTCTGTGATATCACCCTCAATGAGCAATAGTAGTAACATAAAATAGCATCCAAGTAAAATTTTATGACCTATCTCATGGTCATCTGTCTGTTGGCAACCGTGTAAGATTTTGATGTAGATTCATCCATTGTCTGAATGGTGTATATACCATAAGAATAATATATAACTACTGGTATTTTTGTATCATGCGACATATGAAATGATTTTGTGTATTTTCAGGATTTATATTATAAAGATTGTGAGAATGCTTGTGTTATGTTCGCCTCTATAACAAATTTCTTTGAGTTTTATATGGAACTAGAAGCGAATAATGAAGGGGTTGAATGTCTGAGATTACTTAATGAAATTATCGCAGATTTTGATGAAGTAGGTCTTCTTCGATTTATTATATTGTAAAATTAAAAATATGTTTATAGTAGAAATTCATTTTAAACAAGTTTATGTTTCATATTTTGGTGATTTGGAGAGAAAAAATTCTACTCATGACACAACATAGAGTAAAATTTTTCTGTTATGGATAACACATCAAAATCCAATTCTAAACAATCACTCCATTTAACAATGATCGGTGACAAATGAAATGTGATTTAATATCCTCCTTTTTTCCACCAATCCGGCTTATGAAGACTGGCGTATGCCATGCATTTCCTACTATCCAGGTTTCTTTGCCAGGTCCTCTACCATTGACAAGGGAAAATTACACTGAAAAATCCCAAGAAACTTTCTCGGATCAAACCTGGGTACCCAGGACAACCTAGTTAGTCAGCTAGCACTCAGCCACCATGCTCCCTAAATACTCATTAACAGTATGCTTACTATTATCTTGAGTCAACTGGCGGGGGTTTCGATTCCCTGGTTGTACGTGATAAGGGTTAGGGTCGCCTGTCCAACTGCCTGGGTTTTCTCCGGGTCCTCCAGTTTCCTCCCACTGCGAAAGACCCCTGTGCGCAAGCGAATTATTGAAATAAAATTGAACCATGTGTTAGTCCCGAAATGACCTAGTTTGTGTCGAGTGGGCGTTAAACCCTATTTCTCTCTCTCTCCCGCTTACTATTATCGAACACCTGATACAACATGTTATTTATTTGATTAGCTTTATACAACTAACAGTTTTGATACTCCTTCCCTCTATCCACAAATTTCCAACAACATGTCATTGAATGTCCTAATTAAATAGTTTCCCTATTTTTTTTAATACTTAGATTTTAGAACAAGAGAGATTTAGATGTGTAGAGAAGATTAAGACTATTGGCGAGACATATATGGCTGGATCAGGATTAACACCTCAGACTAATCATAGTGATATGAGACATGTTGTAGCGGTCGTAGATTATGCCTTCGCTTTAAAAGCTCAGTTAAAACATGTTAATGAACATTCCTTCAATCACTTTAAAATGAGAGTTGGTAAGTAAACTGGCTGTATCGTCAGTCATTTTAGCAGATTTAGGAAACTTTATTAAGGTCCACATCTAGGTTCTTTTGTCCCAAGAAAACTGTTGAAATGTGAAATATCTTATCCATTGAGAATAATGATATCCATGTTATATACAGTTCTATTCAAAATAATCACAATTTTATGTTTTCTATTACACTAACGTTTGAAATTAATGACAAGCTGGTGTTATCATTATGCACTTCAAAGTTGAGAGGATTTAAGAAGTTAAAGCTGCTTGTTAAAGTCTACCTGTAAATGACGTTATGTTGGTCCTAAGTTTAAAAAATTTGCTTATATTTTGGCTAGCTTTGAAGACAACCATATAATATTGTTGGTGTATAATAATTATTGTCAAACCTCTAGTGAAAAGGAGAAACGTTTGAATTATAGCCCCTGGTGTTTACTAAGAAAAAAAGGGAAAAACCCTTAAATGTTTTTTAAATGGTGTTATATATCCTTTGACTTGCATTACAATATACTAGGATGCTGTTTCCTAATCTCTTCACCGATTTTCTGTTCATTATTTAGTTATTATTTAGTTGAAATGAAATGGGGTTTAACACCTTACATTTCTGCACCGGCTGGGCTAATTAAGACAGATTATTTAGTTGTGTGTATATATATCAACAAGTAGTATAAGTAAATGACTATGTTTGTATTACAGGTATAAATGTAGGCCCTGTAGTGGCAGGTGTTATAGGTGCTAAAAAACCTCACTATGATATCTGGGGTAATACTGTCAATGTTGCTAGCCGTATGGATTGTACTGGGGTTCCAGACAAAATACAGGTTAGCAATAACATATTCTTTTTTAAGTTAGAAAGAGAGAAATGGGTTTAATGTCCATTTGATACAAACCAGGACATTTCGGGACTAACATATGGTTCAATTTTATTTCAATAATTCGCTTGCATGTTGGGGTCTTTAGCATTGGTAGAAAACAGGAGGACCCGTGGAAAACCCAGGAGGTTGGACAGGCTACCCTACTCCTTGTCACATACCACCAAGGAATCAAAACCACACCTGTTGACTCAATGACAGACTTCATGATAAAGCACGAAACACGCTAACCATTCGGCCATCCCCACTTGTACGTGATAAGGAATAGGGTCTCCTGTCTAACCTTGTGGGTTTTCTCCGGATCCTCTGTTTATCTCCTACTGCTAAAGACCCATATGCACAAATGGATTATTGAAATAAAATTGAACCATATGTTAATCCCGAAATGACCGAGATTGTGTCAAGTGGACGTTAAACTTAGTTCTCTATCTATCCAAAATTATGGCTGCAAATAATATAGTCACATCCATTATTTAAAATTATGTTGGGTTTGTTTTTCAGGTTACTCAAGAAATGTATAATATTTTATCATCTCGTGGATATATGTTAGAATGTCGTGGAATGGTTAAAGTGAAGGGAAAAGGAGATATGATAACATACTTTTTAATAGGAAAACCTTCGTAAAACATTCAGGATATAAGAAAACCTAATATAATGTGATAAAAGCTGGTGTCTGTAGGTCCTGTGGTCGATATTAAGAGCACAGTGTTCTTATGGGATGACATTCTTTTATAACTAAGTGTAGTGCTTGTAACAAGGGAAACATTGGTGGTCAATTCATCACTTGTATAAAATAAAAAGATGGCACAATCAACCGTTCAGCCGAAATCAGCTGTTCATGAACACAATTTGACCAAGCTTGGTGGAAACCACATGGTTCTTCTAGAGGTAGTTGAACTTGTTTTAGTGCAGTCAGCACTATTCTGCTTTTATGAATAATATCGTGATTGTACCAAAATGAACTAAGGAAAGTTTTAAATTTCATATGTAAACATGGTTGAAGGAAAAGGGAGATCATTTTCTTTTTATTATTTACAGTATGGAGAATATTCAGTAGAACTAGAACATTCCATAGTTATTGCATTTTTATACGCCCACATTTTCATGTGGACGTATATTGTCGTCGCCCCTGTCTGTCCGTCCGTCCACAATTGTTTGTGAACACTCTACAGGTCACAATTCTTATCCGATTTCAACGTAACTTGAAATATAAGTTTATCTCCCCAAGATTGCGGTTCCTTTCGATATTGGCATGTATAGGACCGTAACTTCATGAATTATGGCCCCTGATTGTACGAAAAATCACGTTTTTAGCTTGTGAACAGTGTAGAGGTCACAATTTTAAAAAAACGTTTGAATATATCACCGTTACACCCTAAGGATGGTTGAGTTTGAATTTCGTAAAAATCGAACCGAAACTGACGGACAAAATGGCCGCCCTTCGTTCGCAAATAGTGTCAAAATATTGTGTATCAAGGTTGTGGACCCTTTGGAGGTCACAATTGTCATCTAATTTTGATGAAATTTGAAATGCATGTTTATAACCCAAATATCTTGGTTCCTTTCTATTTTCGTGCATATCGAATCATAACTTCTCGAATTATGGCCCCTGATTTTACGAAAAAATCGCGTTTTTAGCTTGTCGTCCCTCTAGAGGTCACAATTATTATCCGATTTAAAAAAACGTTCGAATATATCACCGTTACACTGTAATTTTGTCTGAGGTTGAGTTTCTTGAAAATCGGACCAAAATTGCCAGACAAAATGGCCGCCCCTCGTGCGCAAATAGTGTAAACATCGGGTATATCAAATATCTGATGAAACTTGAAATGCAAGTTTATAACCCAAAGATCTTGGTTCCTTTCAATATGGGGGGTTGGATGGATGAATGGTTAGCGTGCGCGCGCTGTATCATAAAGTCTGTCATTGAGTCGACTGGCGTGGTTTCGAATCCCCGGTTGTACGTGACAAGGAGTAGGGTCGCCTGTCCAACCTCATGGGTTTTCTCCGGGTCCTCCGGTTTCTTCCCACTGCTAAAGACCCCTATGCGCAAGCGAATTATTGAAATAAAATTAAAACCATGTGTTAGTCCCAAAATGACCTAGTTTGTGTCGAGTGGACGTTAAACCTCATTTCTCTCTCTCTCTCTCGTTTCAATATTCGCGCATATCAGATCGTTACTTCCTGAATTATGACCTGTAGAGGTCACAATTTTTATCCGATTTAAAAAAACGTTTGAATATATCACCATTACACACTAAGATCTTGGTTCCTTATGATAATCGCGGATACCCGAACTTAACTTCCTAGATTATGGCCCCCGATTGTTCGAGAAAAAGCATTTTTAGCTTGCAGATTCTCTAGAGGTCACAATTTTTTTCCGATTTTAAAAACCGTTTAAATACATCACCATTCCACCATAATGAAGATTAAGTCGTATTTCAGGAAAATCGAAATGAAACTGCCCGACAAAATGGCTGCTCTTTGTATGCAAATTATGTAGAAGTGTGTAATACGAAGGTTGTGGACCCTCGAGAGATCACAATTTTTATCTGATTTTGATGAAACTTAAAATATATCTTTATATCCCAAAGATCTCAGTCCCTTTTGATATTTGCACATTTCGGGCCATAACTTTCTGGATTTTTGCACCTGATTGTACAAAAAATCGCGTTTGTTTTTAGCTTTTTCTCTATCCATCTCTTGCAAAATGTGGGCGTATCCTGCCTGGCAGACGCTGTTTTTTTTTTTTATTGAAATCTAATATGCATATTCTTTAATAAGGCATCTGCATGGATTAACCATTTGCAATTTAAATTTGACATTTATTAAAGTCACTGTGATGTGTAGTGTTTTAAAATATAAAATAATATTGTCCATATTTTTGTCCATTATATGAGGATGTCTTGCCGATGATTATATTGTGCAATATAAATTTATTGTGTTTTGTATAAAAGTGTTATTATTGTAGCTTTTAATTTAAACCAAAGTGTCTTGTATCATGGAATTTGCTCCATTTATTTCCTGCCGCCTCTGTTGAGCTTTTGGTGCCTACTGATGTATCTATTAAATTTTGTGACTTCCTATATTTATTAAGTTTATTTGACAATGACCGATAAATGAAATAATCTGCTAATAAACAGAATTCAATTTTTTAAAAATTATTTAATTGTTGCCAATACAATATTTTATCACATGAAGTTTGAAGTGAAATGAACAGGCTAATTTTCCAACAGAACTGTTGTGACAATAATGTGTAAATATATATAGCTGTGCTTTTTACGGCCCTAGTATAAATATACTGCTTTTATTTTAAGATTTATTACTGCTATAGTTTATTATTGTGATTGTTCTTCATCTTATCATGTTGTAAATTTATAAGATTCCTTTAATAGGTGGGGCCTACATGACTCAAGTCAGTAAGGTGTTAGCTCGCTAAACCAGGAGTTCTCAGGTTTGCTTCCAGTGTTTTCAGGGAAAGTTCTTCAGGATTATCCTGCATAGTTCCCCCTTGTCATTGGTGCAGGCTGAAGGGCCTGCCAAGGAACTGTCTAGTAGTTTGAATGGGACAAAAAGAGAGTTGGACACTGCATGGCATATTATAGCCTTCTTCATTAGCCCATTTGGTGCATTACTAAAACTAGGTGTGTATTGCTGTTCACCCTGTCAGTAACCAATTTTTGCGTGCAAGCAAAGATATTGAAATGTTTGCCGGAATTGTTAGCTTGTAAATACGTACTCGACTTAATATTAGATAATTTTTATAACTTATAGCTGTTACCTTTGCTTTAACATTTTTTTCTGAAAGCTTTATAAACAAGCGGACTTTATTTTTCGCATCCTTCAACAATACATGTATCTCATTTTTGCACAAACTACAATTAATGGATTATCCGTATTGACCCCCCAGATAATCGAGCGTCATTGGGTCTATATTATGTTAGCTTCCAACACTTGTTACACTTTCAAAATAGTTGATCATTTATATAATAGTCTAGTCAAATAAATTTTTATTGAGTATACAATATGATTTATTTTTATTGTAACATGATTAATTTTTATTCTAACATGATTTAATTTTATTGTAACATGACTTTTCTTTTGCTTTCATTTATGAAAATTTTATTAATTTGATATAGATCTGTATAAAATATTTACATAAATATATTTTTATTTTCATTTCAGTTTATGAGACATACATATTTTGATTATACATTGTGATATATTTATCAGATTCTGTCCATTTTCATTACATTACATGATAAACTTGACTATTCAAGACCTTTTGTAAACTAGTTCTATGCCAAAACGTAAATGAAAGGTAGCTATAACCTGTCGGTTCTATTATTCCCTGAAAAACAACTAACATAACGCAATTATAATTTCACTTAACAAGTGGATATTTCTTCAGACAGTTTTCTTGGGAATAGAATAAAGAGTTCTAAGAATGGCCTTCCACACTAATTATTAAGTTTCATTTATTGAAATATGAGTTTTGTCCTTTAAAGCTATCAATATATTATGTACTTCTAAGTAATAAAGCTAAATATGTGTTTTTCGCTGAAAACTAAATACAAATTGTCTTTATAAAAAGATTGTATATGGACAAAGTTATTTACTAAAATAATAAAAAAAGACAAATGTATACATATTTAAACCATACTGTTATATTTAGATGTATTTGACAAAAAGCTATTAAGTCTATGGGTTGTATAAAAAAATATATGTGAAATTTAGAGATTATTTCTAATACAACATGTATATACTGGTATTTACTAAACACTAAGAAAATCACAGCAGTTTGTGTGAAAAACTGTAGTGTTATAATGTGATATATAGTTACATATCATTTGTTATACTGATTCAGATTATATATGCCTATATTTGGTAACATTATTTATTCTAAACTTAGAATATTTATATAATATATATATATTTAAAAAAAACTATAGATGGTATATGTTGACATATTTGTTATGTATAATGCGTATATATACTAAATGTTATTGATAAATATTAAATCATATATATTTGTGTTGTTCATGTCGGATAATTACAACAAACTGTAAAGATTTATAGGAACTGAAACCCTATATTTTGAAGCCAGACTGGCTCAGTGAATTTTAAGACACTGGCTCGCTAACCAGGTCTCGGGTTTGCATCCTGTGTTGGCCGGAAAAATACATTGGGATTTTCCGGCGAGGTTTCCCCTTGTTAGTGTTGCCGAACAAAGGGTCTGGCATGAAAGAACATTGTCTAGTTGTTCAGAGGGGACAAAAACCTGAGATCCGGTGTACACATTGACATTATTGTAAAAGAACCCTTGACAGTTGGAATTTGTAATTAGATTAGGCCATAGCGCCGCTGTCCGAGTAAAATTTACCTCATAGCACACTTGTGGTGGACACCTGTCTTCATTATCCCAGTCGGCACAATATAGTAGGATGTTGAACCCGATTTCTTTTTTTTTTTGCCCCAATATTTCAGTTACATCAAGCACAAAACTTGTTGTCATGCTTCATACTGGAGGGCCAACAACAATTAATCTACAGAGAGAAAAATTAAGCTTATCAATTTAGAAGCTATTGTGGGCCAACTGTACTTTTTCCCAAAATAAAGACCCATTCCTACAGAAAGCTGTAGTCTCCCAAATCCCAAACTATAGGATACTACAGTAATTCGTCTTATACATAACTGTAGAAATTCCCACAGAAAGCTCTGTCGCAACCCATTTGGTAATAACGACACTTTTGGTAATAGTTACCAAATTCACTATTACAATTCTAGTAAAGACACTGTTACGCATTTGGTAATAGCAACGAGTTCATGTAAACTTTGTCAAAATATTTTAGGACATCCTTTTGTGTGCATGTCACTTTATCTAGCACATGTTCTCATAATCAAGCGTAGCTTACACTTAGTCTTGAAGCTGTTGTATTGTGGTGAATGTAAACAATGACGGTAAGACTACAGTAGTATGTAAACTGATTTTTGATTGGTTTGTAGAACTAGAATATACCTGTGTGGCTTATGAAATCATCAAGGGCAAATGATATGAATTCGTGAATGAACCCAGGGATTAGTGGATTAGAATTAAACGATACCACTGGGTAAAGTTATATTTTTCTTCCTATGTGATATCACCCTTTCTGATGCTGAAATAGTCAAAACTGTACATTAAAATATTCCCCCCTATAAAACACTGAAAGTCACAAAATTTCATTTTCATTTTATAATCAGAAATTGAGACAATTTGGTGATCATATTTTCAAATTTAGGTCCCTATCTGTCCACGGCCGGGTTCCTGCATCATATTGAAGGCTGAACAATAAGAAAGTTATAGGTGGTCTGTTTCCTTTCATTAGTGACTTCAACCTGGAGTTGTTTCCCTTATTTGACGTCCGTAAAAAAAACAACATTTTTTGCTTACTGACATGAAGTCTAATAATATTTTGTTTTCTCGGCAGTAGATAAAAACTAAATAGAAAGACTTACAACTTTGTTAAGTTATTTAACACCCAGGGAAATTGGATTATATTCGGCTGTTCGTGTACTCGAGACTATTCGTCAAGGGAGATCACTCTTTAAATAAACTCTTCGGTGTAAAGGAAGTAAAGTTGGAGGACATTCAGGTAAAAAGATACACGTTGTTGAAATTTGCGATAAATTTCGTTATTTTTTCGAATAATTTACTTATTTATCATCATATAGATATTCGTTTCGCATAGCGCTCATTTTGAATCACATATAAATATAGATTTATAAGAAGGAATTTCAGAATTAACACATTTACAGCCCCCAAATCATGTCAATTTTTTTAATTATTTTTGTTTGCTGATTTCTGTTGGTAAAACGATCGTGAAGTTATGTATTGCTTATTGTGATTTGTCTTCATCCATTGTTTAATATGATATATCTACTTTAGTAAATATATAACAGCGAATTTTGCAATAGTCCTTGAAAGTGATATATGACTGCTGTTGATCGGCCAATATATTATATTCAATGTTGTGACTGTGTCATACATAGATCACTGGTAATATTAAATAATAAAAGACTTAAAGAGTTTGCATTTCAGTCCCGTGACCTTCAGCACTGAAAAATATATAGTCTGGACCTTTCAGACTCTGTGATAAGTTGAAAGCAAAGGTTACACACAAACTTCAATTTCGTTTATATAAACTCACTTTTATTAAATTATCTGATAACATCATGGACCTTATGATAACATAATATTCCCCCCCCCCCCAAAAAAAAAAAAACAACAACAAAAACTTTTAATTAGTTTAAAACAATAAAAACGGCTTATAATAGAATAGACCACCACAACATTTAAATTTGATAAAATAATAAATTTTAAAAATAACCTCAGTCAGTCATACATTTATTTTATAAAATAATAATAATCATACAAGGTTTTTCAGCTATTCCAGTAATCTAACTAATCTTTTACGAGCGGTTATTGCAATAGATAAAAGACAACTACATTTAGCAGAACACTGTTATATTTCTTTATTATCACTAATAAACTGTCATTAGCCTCACCTAAAACGATAACTACAAATTTTGAACTGTCTTTTATTTATTCACTGAGTCAGAAACGCTGCCAGACTGAGTCTGAAAAGTCATCAAGTAAGCCTGAATTGTGGTCAAACTGAGTCAGAAATATTGCAGGAACGAAGAATCGTGCTACCGTGATAAAAGAGGGGTTTTGTCATAATATTGTACTACAGAATTTACCTGAGTACATGTATTTAGGGTGCTGCATTGTTTGATATACAAGCTAAGTATCAAAACAAAAGAGCGTGCATTGCCACATGTAGTGTCAATGTTTTACCCCAGGCAAAATATTGAAATACATACAATACAACTTTCATGTCCATCAATCTACCTTGCCTTATTGTTATTATAACACATTGTTCAAGCTTTCGCCTATAGGCTAGATTCCTATCATGGTTAGCTTTTCAGCTAGGATTGCACATTCTTATTTGAAAATTTCTTTGATAGATGATTACAATATATTACCATTTTAGATACGTTGTAAGTGTGGGTTATTGGTAGCTATTTCTGGTGAATTTGATGTATTTATTTTGATTTCAGTTTTATCATGAAGCCATATTTTCTTGTTACCCTTGTATTAATATGTGGGTGGTTGACAACTTGTCAAACAGCAGCCAATCAACATGATGCTGATGTAGATGATAATGAGTTTGCTGAATTTGAAGAGTTTGATGATGAAGGTAATACAAAACCTCTGAAGCTATGCATTCCATGTACATGTATAGCCATTTATTTCCCATTCGCATGAAAAAATATGAAGAACAAAATTATTACAAAGATGAAATCAGACTGTGTGTCAAGGCATCTGATCTAGACCATTTTAGTACACTATAGAAATAAATCATTCTCTGTATGAAAGAATGGATTAAACTTGACATTTAATAAGAAAAAATGTATGTGATGTACTTTGAGATTATCATACATAATGATGTTGAAAATAATCTATACCATGAAAAACCTACCCAGTAGTTGAATCTCATTATTATATGGATAACGGATATGAATAATACGTTCAGTTAAGCACAATATATCCCTGTTCCAGTTTGAATTTCCATATTTCACTGAATTTCATACATGGACATGTACAGTGAAAATCAATCTGATTAAAATACAGATCTATATTTCGTTCCGTTTTTTTTTTATACTTTTGATGGCCTACACTACATGAAGATCTGACCGGTTATAGTGATAGGTTGCGCCAGAGGTCATACGATCGCTGTAACAGACTGTTTCACTGGCTTATCCCTCACTTCAACCAAAACACCGGTAATATAACAACTCTTCCAGATCCTAGTGTAGTAAAGACAAGTAAAACAAAATTTTGAACTATAAAAACGAAACGAAGTAGGATCTTTGTTTTAATCAGATTGAGTGAAAATAGGCTACTGTATTATTATATTTTCTTCTTAATACATGTACAAGGTTTTTGCACTGTAGTGTCTCAATGTAAAGTTTTGGTATAGTTTAAATGGGATGTCATTATCTGTGTATTTTAACTTATCCAGATCATAATAAACTCTCGATGTCAAGGCTAGCCTTCGATGTTGGCTGGATTAGATTTCTATATCTCGCTAACGGCCGTTGATAATTAAATCAATAAAAGTGGATAATCGAGACTAAGCTGTTTATATTAATGATTTTAGTAATGATGACCGAGACTATGCCAAAATTTCACCCGCTTCTTTCTCGGCTCATAGTGGATCTATTTGACTGAAATTTTCAGCAAATTACCTTTACACTATCTAGTTTTTAACTATTATAGCGAGAACTGCCATCTCGTTATCTTATCTCCCATAATGTATCTTTAATTATCCCATCTAATAACGTCACATGGAAACAAATAGATATTTTGATTGACATACAACATTATTTCTGCCTATTCTTCTTTAGATTCAAACTTGCAATAAATCTTTTATGTTCACTTCCAATTAGTACAGTAGTGATAAAATTAGGACCTTCAAGTAGACACACTGCAGATTCTACAGTGGGAGCAAGGCTTGAAAAATGTCAAATGTTCTTCCTGATCCATGGCAATATACAACCGCGCTCTCCTGGTTCAAACCACTAAACAGCCCCAGCCCTTTAAGATTTGTTATAGTGTTACATCTGCATCAAGTCTCTATCATGTTATGGTTTTTATTTGTAGAAGAAACAACAACTGTTAAATCTCATCCAGAATCTACTAAAGAAAGAAAGGTTGATATAAAAACAGAAGATGTTGTTAGTAAAGATGAAATAGAAGAAGAAGATGATGATGGCGTGGTTGAGGTGAGAATTAAAACTGGGTCCAGTATTGATTGACTGTATTAAAATGAATTGTAAAAGTCTAAAACATGTTTATTATTAAATAGAAAAGATGGTAGTATATCAGTTTTCAGAACACCCAGCCGCCATAAAAACACAATTGATACAAAAGATTCCCTCAAGTGATGTATCCATAGAACTGATAGCCATATTAACTTTTGCTCTTTCCAAATCAGGTTCTCAAACATGCAAAATGGAATCTTGTTCATATTTTGCTATATATATCCAGTTTTTATTTAGAATACTTACTTGGATGAGCTGGGTATTAAGTGCTGAAGATTTTTTATCCATTTTTTAAACTTATAATTTTGTTTTTAGGCAGAGGATGATGAATTTGAACATCTACAAGATGAAGAAGAGTTTGAAGGATTTGATAAAGAACGAGGAAGTAGCCCTAAAACAAAAGGGTCAGAGAAATTACCTGATTTAGAAATAGCCAAGGTTCCACTTCATCTTCGTACAAACTGGGATAGTTTTTATGTGGAGATGTTAATGATTGCTGGACTTGGTGTTTATTTTCTGAATTTTTTGGCTGGAAAGACAAAGAATAGTAAATTAGCTCAATCATGGCTTGGAGCTCATAAAGAATTACTTGATAGCAACTTTTCTATTGTTGGTATGTTATTTTTTATTGTTAATTTTTACCTATATTGATTAATATTTATACACCCAGATTATACCGTTGCAGATTGTAGTAGATTAATGTTACAAAATTTAAAAAATTGTGCCGCTGTGATTTATATTAAAACTAGCAGTATACCCGATTTTGCTCGGGGGTCATAACTCCGAAACCGGAAGTGGTAGACTAACGCCACCTGGTCTGTGTTACTCCCCAGTCCGAGCTACCCCTATACCCCAAATTTCAGACTCGGGGCAGACCTAGTGTAGCCGCCAACCCCGAACAGACAGACTTCGCTCGGGGGTCATAACTCTGAAACCGGAAGTGGTAAACTAACGCCACCTGGCCTATGTTACTCCCCGGTCCGAGCTACCCCTATACCCCAAATTTCAGACTCGGGGCAGACCTAGTGTAGCCGCCAACCCCGAACAGACAGACTTCGCTCGGGGGTCACAACACCGAAACCGGAAGTGGTAGACTAACGCCACCTGGCCAATGTTACTCCCCGGTCCAAGCTACCCCTATACCCCAAATTTCAGATTCGGGGCAGATAACTCCGAAACCGGAAGTGGTAGACTAACGCCACCTGGCCTATGATACTCCCCGGTCATTAAATGTTATGAATTTAAGATTTTTTTTATGTATAGGTGATGATGGAACACAAAAAGAAGCTACATCTGGTACTTTGATGAAAGAATCAGAGAATGTATATGCTCTGTGGTGTAGTGGTCGTGCTCATGTTGAAGGAATGCTGGTCGAGTTAAAACTATTAAAACGTCAAGATTTAATCAACGTTATGTTGAGGATGTTCAAGCCAGCATCTGACCAAATAGTAAGTATGTTAAGAATATACAAGAGCTATTTGTTGTAATTGTGTTCAGATAAAGCTATAGTCCAAAGTCTTCTTGATAAAGAATTGCTTAAACGTCGTCGTTCATTTCAGTACCAGTGTCACAGTTTGACACAACACCCAGTTTGGCTTGGTACCCTGTTTTATAACAGCAGAGAATTGATTTACCCCACTGCTTTTTAGTAAAGACAACTTTGTATTTTATTTATTATTTATATTTGTTTCGTATTTACTATTATTAGGCTTTCCGAGTACTGTTTTGTATATAATGTAGTTGTACCAATTTATTTGCAAAAATATCAAAGTTTAAATCACTTTTTTGGTTATAGCATGTAACTAAAAAACGGTGCAAAGCCAAACCACAGCACCGGTATCTAATGTTTTCACAGTTTTATATGTGAGGAAGGGAAAAAGTACTAAAAACAGATTTATGACTAGTAGTAGTAGTACCGGTACTTATTTTATGATCAGGTTTTTATTTTGTGTCACAATCCGTACAATAATATTTTTATCATTAAAATGCTCCCAAGTTTCCAATTAACTTAACAATAGCCATTTGTCTGTAAAGAAAATAACACAAGAGAATGAGTAAGGCTGTAATTGGACATTCTAACTAGGTGCCAGCACGACACTGTATTTCATGCAAATTTACATGTACATCAAGCAAGGTCAAACGGTATACTTCAAGTTTGCATGTGAGCTAAATTTAAATGTGGAGTAACGGAGTCCCTATCTGGAGATGTACTTCTCTCAGGAAATACTTAGAAAATGTTTAAAAAGTCACTGGAAATTGAATATAATAATACTGTTATGTGCAGTAGGTATTATATGTTACATATCTGTTTTAATTACAAAATGTAACCCCCTCCCACGAAACTAGGCACTTGTCGTACAACTTCATTTTGTACTACGGGCACAAAAGCATAAACTGTATGCCTTCTTGTTGCTGTAAATGAACCGAACTCAACTCCAGATGAATTGCATTTTTGGAACGCTTAGGCTGCGGACTATTCGGATATGCTGCCAGCTCTATTTTTATAAAAATAACCAAGAGCCTGGTTTTGTGGGAGCAGCTCACAAATATTTATGAATATATTTATTATGATTTCTATTTTTAGATTATAACGGTTGATATGGACAAATCTTCTATGGATCGCTTTGTTTTTGCTGTTGCTCAGAAAAAATCTGCTCTTAGACTTCATAAAGATATGAATGATTTGGTAATTTATTTTTATTTATCGAGTGTTTATATTTTAAGGTAGGGATTGATGAAATATAATCTTATTAATTTATTTTTCTTTCTTAGAAATATTTTTCTCGGAGAATCATTATAAACCCATTGCACAAAGCACGGGATTTTCCGACATGGTTCCTCCTTGTCAGTGGTGTAGTATCGAGGGCCTGGCAAGGGATAACGTATAGTCGTTTGGATGGGGCAAAAAAAAAACAAGGTCCTGTGTACACATTGGCATGCACGTTAAAGATCCGTTAAACCCCATTTCATTTCATTTTCTCATTTGTATTTATATTTGTATTAGGGCTGTACGATATTGCAAAAAGGGACGATATCGATATTGGCATTTTTTTCAACGATATAGTAAAATATCGCGATATTTAATAATAATGTCATTTTGCTATTAAATAAATTAAATATAAATGCATTAAAGCTGACTACAGTGTGAGTAAGAATTGCTTTATTCAATCATAGGCCTACTTAAATGTTGCTTTTTTGATAAAAACGTTTCAATGCTTTTTAACACAATAACAGGAGACATTACTTATGCATGTACATATAATTAAATAAAATACAACCGCTGATGTTTAAAAAGCGTCTGCTTGTGACCTTGAGTAAGAAAATTCTCAAATATCACGTGCAGTGGAAGTAAGTAGATGCGGTCTTCAAGTCTTGTATTGTAAATTCAAACAGTTTAACAAATACTAAATGATCCGGACTATCTTCCATTCAAGCATTCGATTGGCTGCGGTTGGCCTAACAGTGACAGTAATCTATTTATAGATCGTTTTATTCTTGCTTTTAGAAATTAAGTTTCGTAGAGTTTTCTTAAAATATTCGTTTTTTAAAAATATGACAACCTATTTATAGACGGGTAATTAGCCACGGTATTGGGAAACTTCAGGCGTTTAGTAGTAATAACTGACAATTTATTGTCGACTAAAAACAAAGTAAAAGTAACGCATACACGATGTAGTGAAAAATGGCTGCGGACACTGCGCAAGTGTTCTCAACATTTAACGATTCTCAAAACATTAGTTTTATTATAGTTTATTGCCGTCGGCTAATTTCCACTGCTGTATTTTTATGATCATTTTTTTTTCGATATTTGAAGTTTTTGGCTATATTCGATAAACCACTTTATCGACGATTTTTGGCCACCTGATATCGTAGTTGGGTCTGAAAATACCATATCGCGATAAATGACTATATCGAGAATATCGTACAGCCCTAATTTGTATCAGTTTGATCGAAGATTATTTGTATTTATTTGTGTATCTGGTCTGTTATTATGTGTGTTTATATTTTTATAGAGTCAGTTTAATCTGTTATTATTTATGTTTATATTTATAGAGTCAGTTTGATCAGCTATTATTTGTATTTATATTTTTATAGAGTCAGTTTGCAGAGAAGAAGAATGTAGATAGATATGAAATACCTTCAAGTTATCAAATATTAAGTGAAATAGGAGAAGCTAATCAGACATTACTGGATAAAAAGGTATGGAAATTAGATGTACAATACATCAGTTTTTTTATTCAATTAACTGTAGCAACTACAGACTATCGCCATATTGTTTTTCATGTTGAGTGAAGTCTGTACCCTTACAGGCCTGGGACTGTACAAAGCAGTGGATGCTTCGACCGGCCCCCGGATCCATTCCCTTGATTTGATATTTGTTGTTTATTTCTTTCAGTGTCTGTTTAGTTTTTCTTGTCCACAGGTTTTGTTTTGGATGTAGTGTGGTTCTCCTGCACTAACGATATACAGGACAGTCTTTAAATGCACAGTACATGTATAGTCTGAAAATCCTTGAAATTCTAAATTATGAATACCAATTACACTTATTCAGAATTATTTCCCTTGCACCCAATAGTAAGTGATTAGAAATGGATTCCCGGTTTCATTTTTGACAAGTATTCCTATACACCTTCTTCAGTGTCGTGTGAATATGTGAAATCCTTGGTGCTACTCTGGATCACTGTGTTCGCTATTAGCCAGATTTGTTATTTATGATTTTTTTTATTTAGGTGTGTCAGGTGTTGACTAAATACGAAGGGTTAATTGAATATATTCACTTCTCGGATCAGTATTCTGGTGTGAAAAGTCAAGAGTAAGTATATATTATACAGATAATACTCAAATTTATTTTGACTTGGGATTAGAATTAGTAGATATGTCGAAATTGATTGTCACTAAATAATGGCACTTCAGTCAAATCAGTAATATCAATTTGACCACCTGATTTACACGGATAGATCCTTGACTTTGATAAACGATGAAGAGTTATAAATATGACATCAAAGATCTTGTGAAATTATTATCATCAACAAATGTTATTCCGAATTTCCACATCATCTTAGACTACAAAAGTTATACTGATTTGTGATGTTATCGTTTACAAAAGTTATGTTGATATATTACGTTATTATCCTTTACAAAAGTTATACTGATTTGGCATAACATAATATAAAATTTTTGTGTATTGAAAACAATTACACTTCTTTGAATCATAAAAATAAAGATGATTGTGGATATCCTTTTCTAGACATACATAATTGTAAGAGAGAATTACTATATTTTATATATGGATTTCATTTTGAAATATTATCTCTTTCAGAGAAACACAGAGTAAACTTCCTGAAACTAAAGCTGTTCTACTATTCTGTTTTAATGGTATGTAACCAGATTCTCTTTACAAAAACTGCAGAACAGTAGGACGTTAAACCCCATTTCATTTTATTTCTTTACAGAAAACTAATACATAAATTTCATGTTTATACAATTGATATAAATTGTATATATTTTTTGAGACAAAGAATGGATCAAATTTATATACATACATTTTAGTGAGACAAAGAAGACTAATGCATTTTAATGATTTTAATTAATAGCTATGATTTGATTGTCTTTAAATGGTATACATAAATATATATATATATAGAGAGAGAAAGATTAAAGTAGATAATTAGTCTATGTTTACACTCCATAAATACCATAATAGAATTATATCCAGTTAAAAGGTGTAAAGTTCCAACTTACATTACAAGCACAAGTGTGTTTTTGATTACATTACAAGCACAAATCTTTTGTCCATTCCAATCAATTATGACCTTTTATTTTAACCTGACAATATGGCCTGTACTATTTGCTCTAGAGTGCAATTTGTAATGAGGTGCCTTGATGAACACGGCTAAACATCAATGCCAAAGTGAAATGTCAAACCTTACTGCTGATGTAGACTTTGTAGTCTGGACTAACCAGACACATGCGCTTTTCATTCAATTTGGCAATCTGTTTCACAGAGAATTACGAGTCTAGTATAATATCTCTGTCAAAGATGACTGCCTTAACACGTGCCATCACAGCACGCGGTGTCAATCATTGGCTGAATGGCCCGTGCATTGTTTACATAAGTGTTACTGCTTCGGAGAGAATGCTGCCTTTTATTCATTTTAATACCCATTTACACTAAATAGGAAATAATTTTTACCTACTAATACGTCAAACACCTTTATTTATTTTTCCAATACATAAATAAAATCTTTTAGAATTTAATTTGTCGCAGGAAAAAAGTTAATATTTTGGACTCATTAAGTCGCATCGATGTCATCCTTATCAGTGATTGTAGCGGCCTAGCGAAAATTCACTGCCGAACAGTGTGTCAATTTGGACTACGATAAAGTTTTTAAAAAAATGAATTTAAATAGTTCATATGCACTCGTATTACATTAGTATGTGCTTTTTGACCCATTTTCATTCAGTTTAGGTTCAAAAGAATAAGAGATTTAGCTCTTTTAAACGGTACATAAACATATACATATTGCTTATATAATTATAACATCTGAAGACGGTCATTAAGAGCAAACAGCTAGATTATCATTTGGTGTATACGACAGGTGGTGAACATATTTTTGATATATATATTTTTATTATTTCAGTTCCTGATAAAGGTAAAACACGACCTTCGGACATGGAATTTGTGAAACCACTTTTACAGTTTGTATTTTACTGCATAGATAAAGTATCTAGATTACAACTCGGAAAAGAAGTAAGTCGATAAAATATTTATAGTTCAAATCATTTCTCCATACCACATTGAAATTTCTAGCAGTCTGTCAGCATGTTGGTAAAAAAATAACCCAATTTCAATTTGCTGTGATTTTGAAGTACATCTACATCATGCTTGATAAATATATTGTAGGCAAAATTTAAGACCAATCTACTGTGATACATTGTAACTCTCAGTGTGATCTAATGCATATGCTTTACGGTCATACCGTGTGTCATCATTGCAAGTGTCAAAGTTTTGATCCCAAGGGGTTGGGTGTCCGAATGGTTAAGCTATGTCATTTAGCCTTGCTTTGGTTTCGATTCCCCGCTTGTAAGTGGCAAGGAGTAGGATCACCTGTCCAACATTTTTGGGGTTTTTCTGGGTCCTCAGGTTTTCTTCCAATGCTACACATAAGTGAATTATTGAAATAAAATTGAACCATATGTTAGTCCCGAAATGACCGAGTTTGTGTCGAGTGGATGTTAAGCCTCATTTCTCTTCTTCACTCTTTTTGATCCCAAGGTTGTATGTGACATTTAGTAACCTTAGTACACCAACCTGGCCAATGGTGAAGGAGCACATGTGATACACTGTGCTGTAGTGATGAAAATTTAGCTTGGAAAGAGACGTTTCTACATACTCTTCATTGAATTCCAACTTTCGAATGTTCTTTTATGTACACACCACTGTGTACAAAGGAACTCAGTTTTTAGTCCCATCCAAATTACTAAGACACCGTTTCTTGTCAGTCCATTCGTTCTTCACCACTGACAAGAGGTAACGATACTAAAAAATTCTCTCACTTGTACCATAAGTCTCTGAATCGCAATTGTACATTCATTCTATTACTGGACCTGTAACAAATCCACTATTATTTCTGTAACAGGCTAGGGGAAAAGCTGATAAAAATCGTCAAAAAGCTGAAGAGGTCTTCCTTAAATCAATCCATTCCCAGAGACAAGAGGCAGCACAGTCCCGACGTGAAGAGAAAAGGCGAGCAGAGAAAGATAGACTAATGAATGAAGAGGATCCAGAAAAGGCTAGAAAATTAGAGGTAACAAAATATTACAGAATTTATTATATACTTTATATATCTCATTATGAATATTAATATGCTATACTGCTATAAGGTGGTATATTGAGGGTGTGTTAAAGTTGAATTTAATGATATTCAATAGTAGGATTGATATAGATATTATAGTTGAACTATTCAATCTTTTATTTGTCTACAGGATAAGGAAGCTAAAAGAGAATTGAAACGTAAAATACCTAAAGTTAAAATGATGAAGGTATGTATTCAATTATTTTTTTTTTTTTTTAAAAATGCATTATGTGAGACTTGGATAAAGAGCTGTTCATTCTTAATATAATGGTTATAGGTGTTGGAAGATGTAATGCAGATTGTTTATTATTGTAGCAAAGATACCACTAGACAATCGGGACTTTGTCTCGCTTGTCCATTTTATCGTTAAATTTTAAAATCTCTCGGCCGTCCTAATCCATTTAAATCTCTGCCATCCAATGGTCTAGAGAGATGATTATGGACTTGTCATGTGAATAAATGTCTAAATAATTGTTTATATAACATTTGAAGCCAAAATAAAGACCTGCAATAGGCAGGTTTAGCTCTTACATAAGAGTATCTTAATAAAAATACAAGTGATGTTGAAAGATAGTAAGGGGGATATGGTAGCTTAAAACAATGCTTTGTCTCTAAAAGAAAGGTCACTTTAAGGTAAATGGATATTTTTGGCATTCAAGCTGTTAAAGTAGGTTTCCAACCAACTCTTGGTAAGAGCACATAACTCTTAATTAAAATGTATTCTAATGTGGGTCAAGATTAATTTTCAGAGTAAATAAAAAGTTATATGTTGGTCCCAAAATAACCTAGGTAAAGTGTTAACCAGATATCAACAACATTGTGTTGGATTTAGAGCTATCCAACAATGCATTATAATGTATTAAACCCTATTCCAGACCCACAGTGGCTCAGTGAGTAAGACACTGGCTCAATAGTCTGAAGGTCACAGGTTCACATCCAGAGTTTGGTAGAGAAAGTTTATCAGGATTTTCCACCATGGTTTCCCCTTGTCAGTGGTGCAGGAAGGACGGTCTGACAAGGACAGCTGTCTAGTTGTTTGGATGGTATGAAAAACCAAGGTCCCGTTTACCCATTAGCGTGCATGTAAAAGGACCATTGACTGTTGGAATTCGATATAAGCATGGCCAATCCGCTGTTGTCCGGACAAAATTTCCCTCATCGCACACTGTATGGAGTAAGCCAGTCTTCATTAGTCCAGTCAGAACAGTAGGATGTTAAACCCCCATTTCATTTCATTTTAAGCCTTAGTTATAGGATCTAACTTAGTATATTATTTACATTTTTCAGGTCGGCTAATTTAAACCTCAAGAATGAAGCCAATAACTACCATCAGAAACATATTTGTATCATGATATTAAATGTACATGTATGTTGTGTCAATTTTTTTTTACCAAACCAAATCATTGTCTTGTCATTATAAGGAATCATATTTGTTCTCTCTCATTTTATCAGGCCAGTTTTATTTAGATCACAAAGTCTGTTACAAATTGAGAATTTAATTTGAAAACCCATCGGTACCTTTAGGCTAGTTTCCCTACTGTCGTGTGATGTGTTACAATAGGATTGTCTCTATTGAGTCCACGATCTGGTAAGTGCAGATATGTTTGGACTAGGTTCCCGCAATCATGTGATGCTTTACCATAAAATTGTCTCTATTGAGTCCACATGCAGATATGTTTGGATGCGTTTCGGTATGATCAACACAACATCTACGACTGACCTCAATATATGATAAGACCTGATCGAATCACCATGATTAAAATGACGATTTTAATCCAGTACGAATCATGATAGTGGGAACCTAGCATTAAACAACAAATATTTTTTAGACATAATTACAAATTTTATATGCAAGTTAAAAGATATATTGATCGACCCACAAATATCTATGTCTACGCATTTTCTTTTTTAAAAAGATTATTATTTGAATATAAATATTTATTTTGTGTTGTTTTAATGTGTAATATTCATATTGATCAGTTTTTGTCCATATTATCATTAAAACCTTTTATATTATGCAAATTGTTGCTTTATTTCACCTGGTAGACGGAACTTATAACAATCACAATTATTGATATTTTTTATTTGCTGAGATAAATCCAAAAGGGTTAAATATTGTTTTAAGGCTGGCAGTGTTAATGGAAAATAGTTTTTGTTCACTTTCACTCGATCATCAAAATGTCACTGGAAAAGGCCATTTCAACGTTATATTTTTACAATGTAGTTAGTAGTAATTACCATTATGTTTTAACAACCATGATTATAAAGGCCTTGGAATTATCTTTTGGGGGATGAGGGGTAGACATAGGAGTATAAATTAAGTTAAAACAAGACATTGTCATAGAAATATTCTGGCAAGATCCATCCCTCCAACAAACTGTAGTAGAATTCTCTCCTGCAGCAAACTCATGCATAATTCTCCCCTTCAACAAATATTAGCTCCTTCACTCAAACTCTGGTCTCCGCTTATTCAGCATTCTCTTGAAAAATTCTCCTCTCTAACAAACTGTGGCAATTTCCAACTCCAGCAAGTTAATAAAATCCTCTCCCTGTGCAGTCTCTGGCAAAATCCGCTCTTTCAGCTGCCCCTTTTAACAAACTGTGGCAGCATCCTTTCCAGCAAATCCCAATCAAAAGGGTATTATATGCCTAATGTATATACATTTATAACGCTGAAAGGTTACGATATATTGATCTTGAACATTCAACTTATTTATCACTTATATCTTTTATTTGAAAAATTACCAATTGTTTGCATTGTAAAGTGATTGTACTTGTTTTGTTTGTTTTTTTAGGTACAAAGTGAAATTAATTGTACATTAAATTAGATTTATCATTTTGTATTTATGTCTGTACATGTAATGAAATATTGAATGAGTAATTGTTTAATAAATAAATTAGTCCTTATTTTAACTGATAGTTTAACTGTCTTATTAGAACAGGTTTACCTAGTCTACAGTTCCCCCTACACTCAGCGATTTGTGCATGCAAATTATTGAATTAAAAAATTTTCTAATGTTAAAGCGGAAATTTCCAATTTTTAAGTTATATTTTTTTAATTTATTTAAATAAAGCCTTAAAATAGACGGTATCCATAAACAGTCCTACCTTGTTAAAGAATAATTCTATAATTCACTATTGCCAGCTGAGAAATTGGAAAAAATATTATTTTCAATTTCAAATTTCAACGTTGAGGAAATGGCTGACCATGGTTTTCAATAGGAAAACAAGGGAGGTAATTGTGTTGTTATTTCCTGTGTAAATGAGTTTTAAGTGTGAGAATGACACCTATGATCGTATAATAGTGAGTTGATAACCTATTGAGCAAAAGACATAGAAATGATTATGTTTTGATTTTCTTAGAAAATATGAAATTCTCGCTTTAAACCTCATCATACAGTGTGATATGATGGAAATTATGCCTGGACAGTGGCACTACTTCCTATTCTTATATTAAATTCCAACTTTCAAGGTTTTTTTCACATGGGGGAGACACATTGGCTAAGTGAGTGAGATGTTTGCTCGCTAAGTTGTACAGTTTTACATCTACCCGGGAATCAAAATATGCAATAACTCATCCTTCAAACTAGCAGTCTTGGACCTTGTAAAGAAAGCTAAACGGGCTTGGTTTAGTTTAAGGAGTAAAGTTAGTCTAAATTTTTCTCACCATCTCCCTACTGATGTGTTAATAACACTATATGATGCGGTTGTGAAACCGATTAGTATCTATGGGAGCGAGATATGTTCTGATGTGTAATAATATCAATTATTATATATTCATATTTGCCGCGTATGTTAATGCGCATGCTTGATTAGTAATAAAGAAGTTAAATGGCCGCCATTGTTGAGTCATACCACGACATGGTGTCAGAAGTAAAAGTCAAAATAGTCAGAGCATTAGATTGCTGAACGAATAAAATGGCCAAATTTAATCCACCAGAAGCTTTCAGGTTTGATCGCCCGTCAGAATGGCTCGAGTGGAGGGAGCGATTTTCTCGATATCGCCTTGCAACGAAACTTCACGACGAAGATGGAAATGTGCAGGTTAGCGCAATGATTTATGCTATGGGTCCCGAGGCGGAGCACGTTGTTAAAAGTTTTACATTTAGAAATGACGATGAAAAGAAAGATTACGATGTTGTACTGCAGAAATTTAATGATCATTTTATTCCAAAGAGAAATGTAATATTTGAAAGGTCAAAATTTCACCAATGTGTCCAAAATGCGGAAGAAACGGTTGAAGCGTTTGTTCGTAAACCTTATGATTTGGCTGAGCATTGTGATTTTGGTGCCACTAAAGACGAATGCATACGTGACAGAATTGTAATAGGCGTATTAGATAAGACTGTTTCACAGAAACTGCAAATGACCCACAATTTAACGCTAGAATCTGCTATCAGTTTAGCAAGGCACAGTGAACTAATTAAAAGTCAAAATAATTCCAAAAGTGAAGAGAGTACCGGTAGTAGTGGTAGTATGAATAATTTTCGTACCATGAAACGAGAAATAGATGCAATAGCACGAAGGTCCGAGACTCACGGAGCATATCATCGACGTTCAGATGACAATTTTAGAGGTAGAGGAAGATTCAGAGGGGGACATCATTATCATAGTAACAATAATTCAAGGCAATTTCAGAATCCAAGACAGCGATATTATTATCATAATTATAATCCAAACAGGTATAGAGAATACCGGGAAAATAGAAGAAATTGTACACGTTGTAGTCGTAAACACTGGTTAGATGAATATTGTCCAGCTAGTTATTCCAAGTGTAGGAAATGTCATCAAGTAGGCCATTTTGCAGTGTGCTGTAAGACAAAATCTATAAGGGAGATAACCCGGACAGTGAAAGACGAACCAAACTGTAGTACCCTCCCTTTAATCAGTAATGTAGATTCCCATGAAGCAACCCGCAGTTGTTCCCCTTTAGTGATTCCTGATAAAAATCAAACCGAGTTTTTTCTTGGTTCATTGACATCCACAGATTGTTTGCAAGATTCAGAGCCGGCGTGGAATATTTCATTGAGAGTTGAAAACACCTTACTTCAGTTTAAAATTGATTCTGGAGCCGATGCGACTGTAATATCTGAATTAACATTTAATAAGTTGCGTTCACGTCCTATTTTATACAAGTCTGATGTTAAGTTTGGAAGTCCAGGTGGAAGGTTAGATTGCCTAGGATATTTTATAACAAACCTTGTTCACAACCACAAAACTGTTAACATTATGATTTACGTTGTTAGAGGTAATTTTGTTCAGAATCTGCTTAGCCGCACAGCAGCAGTTTGGATGGGACTTATACGTAGAAACGATAGCAGTTGTAAGGTTGACAGTGTTGAAATTGATACTGAACTTTTTGCAGATATAGGTCTCTTAAAAGGGGATCCAGTAAAAATAATACTGAAAGATGATGTCGTTCCATATTCTGTACATGCAGCTAGACGAATACCAATTCCGTTATTACCTAAAGTTGAATTAGAATTAAAAAGAATGATTGATCAAGATATCATCGAAAAGGTCACAGAGCCTTCCGACTGGTGTGCCCCAGTGGTTCCGGTATTAAAACAAAATGGTCGTGTTCGATTATGTGTCGATTTACGTCAATTGAATAAAGGCGTTAAACGCGAAAGATATGTTTTACCCGCATTAGAAGATATTTTACATAAAATGTCAGGAAGTCAATACTTTTCACGTCTCGATGCATCCAGCGGATTTTATCAGATACCACTTGATACAGAGAGCTCCAAATTAACCACATTTATTACACCTAATGGACGATACAGATTTAAACGGCTACCATTTGGAATTACCAGTGCACCAGAAATATTTATGAGAAAAATGTCTGAACTATTGACAGGTTTGGACGATATATTTATATTTGGAGTAACGCTTGAAGAACATGATCGCAATCTTTCAGCCGTCATAGAACGTATTAAAGAGTCAGGACTTAAACTAAACAAAAATAAATGTACCCTACGTCAAACCTCAATTGATTTGTTAGGTCATGTTGTCACCTCAGGTGGCATTAGCCCACATCCAGTACAAGCTATCCAGGAATTACGAGTACCTAAAACAGTTACAGAATTGAAACGTGTCTTGGGCATGATTAATTATTTAGGTCGATATTTACCGAACTTGTCTGATGTATTACAACCTCTTAACAAACTTTTAAAGAAAGATATTGTTTGGACTTGGGGTTCATCCCAAGAAAACTCTTTTAAAACAGTCAAAGAATTGATAAGTAGCGCTCCTGTATTGTCATTATTTGATGTTAGTAAACCTACAATGATAAGTGCAGATGCTAGTCAGTATGGAATTGGAGGTGTCTTAATGCAGCAGCATAATTCTGATTGGAAGCCAGTTGCCTATTGTTCTCGTACTTTGACAGATGCTGAGAAACGATATGCCCAAATTGAGAAAGAGTGCCTAGCTTCGGTATGGTCGAGCGAGAAATTTTCCAGATATATTTGCGGACTTGATTCGTATAAATTATTAACTGATCATAAGCCTTTGGTGCCTCTTATTAACCGTAAAGACATTGATCAGGTTCCTATTAGATGTCAACGTTTATTGATGAGATTAATGCGTTTTAATCCAACAGCTGAGTTCGTTCCAGGGAAAACATTGTTGGTGGCGGATACTTTAAGTCGTAGTCCCTTAAATAATGCAGAAGACAGCAGTAAAGAACAGGAAATTCGCATGTTTGTTGATTTGATAACTTCTTCGTGGCCGACATCAGATAAATTACTTACTAAGATTCGCAGAATGACCGAGGAAGATCCTACGTTAAAGAGTGTTCTTTATTACGTTCAACAGGGATGGCCTGAATACATTAGAGACGTTCAAGAAAACGTTAAACCCTATTTTACTGATCGAGAACGACTGAGCAGTGTTAATCGCGTACTCACTTATGGTAACAGAGTTATTATTCCGTCACAACTAAGAGATGATATTTTAAACCGCATCCATGAAGGACATTTAGGTGTCACAAAATGCCGAGAACGCGCACGTTTGTCCGTGTGGTGGCCGAAGATTTCGACAGAAATCCGTAATAAAGTGTCTTCATGTTTATATTGCTTAAAACAACGACCTACACAAAACAAAGAACCTTTGATTCCAAGTACATTACCTGATCGACCTTGGCAAAGAATAGCTTCAGATCTTTGTACATTTAAGAATAAACAATATTTAATAATAATTGATTATTTTTCGAGATACCTAGAAATCATCTATATGCCGACAACTACAAGTCGTTGCTTAATATCCAAGTTTCAAGATGTGATCGCAAGATTTGGTATCCCAGAACAGTTAATTTCGGACAATGGTCCACAATATGTGTCGCATGAGTTCAACAGCTTTTGTAATCGTTATGGTATAGAACACATTACGACCAGTCCACATTATCCACAGGCAAATGGGGAAGCCGAGAGAGCGGTCCAAACAGCTAAGACCATTCTTAACCAGCCCGATCCACACATCGCTCTCCTGAATTATCGAGCAACCCCAATAGAAGCTACTAAATGCAGTCCAGCTCAACTACTAATGGGACGTCAATTACGTACAACGTTACCTACTTTACCAACAAATTTAGAACCTCAATGGCCTGATTTAGAAAGGGTGAGAGGGAAAGATGAATTGTATAAAAACAAGTCAGAATCTAACTTTAATCGGTTTCATGGAGTTAAAGAGTTATCCGAATTAAAACCTGATGATAAAGTCTTTATTAAACTTGACAATGATAAAAAATGGCTAATCCCAGGAATAATTGTACATAAAGCTACAGAACCCAGATCATACATTGTAAAGACAAAGCGTGGAATTTATCGTCGCAATAGGCGTCACTTTCGTCTTATTGGAGATCATCACGATGACTTTAATATACCCATGGATGATGACGACGATGATTGTTT